CATTAAAGGCCAGAACAACCCTGGATTTAATCAGTCCAGTTAATCTGCACTCATTTTCTTCCTTCTCCATTCCCCTCCAGTTTAACATTTTCTCCTAAGTTATAATAATGAATAGTAAGTTGTAATAAGAAATATTCTGAATTTTATATAAAAGAAGTCAGGTTCACAATGCTCTTCTCACATATGGGGCAAGACAGTTTGAGCATATAACACCAATTCTAGCCCAACTGCACTGGCTGCAAATTAGTCTCCAGGCCGAACTCAAAGTGCTGGTTTTGACCTATAAAGCCTTAAATGGCTCAGAACCACAATACCTCAAGGACCGCCTCTTTGTATCGACACAAAACCTGTGCTCATCATCTGACGGCCTTTGTAAGTTGCCCCCCCCCCATGAGACATCTGACAGGTGGCAACACGAGAATGGGCCTTTTCTGTGGTGGCTCCCTTCTTGTGAAATGTTCTCCCCAAGGAGTCTTGCCTGATGCCTTCATTACATATCTTTAGGCACCAGGCGAAAACATTCCTCTTCTCCCAGGCATTTAGCTAATTAAACGACCTACGGCCTTTAAAACTGGGGTGGGTATTGTTTTTCTTTGTCGTCATGGTACATATTTTTGTGTTTTTATCTTGTAAACCACCCTGTCCTCTTTGGATGAAGTGTAGTATAAAAATTTAATAAATAACAAGGAATAGAACTGGAAGCCTTTTGTTAACTTTTCTTTTTAAAATATGCCCTGTATAAAAGTGTCGGCATGTATATATGCTCTCCCTCTCTCCCCGGCCCACCTAATTTATGTGTTTCTCATCTTTAATCAGCTCAGTAATTATGTCTAGTTCGTGGATTGGAGAGTTTTATAGTCCCTGCAATATTTTGTATCAAATATAAAATGACCTCCAACGTTTCTTCCTGCCAGATCACCAAAGGAAAAATCTGAATTTTTGGTTAGGTCTAAGAAAAAAATGTGTTGCTCCTGTTTTTTAGCTCAAGCTATAAATCCTTTGACCCTGCCTGAGTGATAAAACACAGTTCCCTTTCTGTCTATCGGATGATGCCAAAATGAACGTCCTCAGTATGTTGGGATTGTTCCAGCTGCTTCAGCATTTTGGATGGACTTGGATTGGCCTATTATTTCAGATGACGACATTGGAGAAATACTGTTGAGGACTCTCATGCCTTGGCTGCACCAGAGCAATATTTGTGTGGCTTTAGGGAAGTTATTCCAACGCCGAAGGAGACCTGGGATGAAGCACTGCTAAAAAATAAGAACTTGGCGAGAATAAGCAGAGTTCTCTTTTCGGCTGTGACCAATGTGATTCTTGTTCATGGGAGTCACGGACTATGGGAGAGCTTACGAATGGTTCTATTGCTGCATGAATTTCGTGAAAGGAAGCCAGAAGAGAGGGTTTGGATCATAACAGCTCAGTGGGATTTCACAACTGTGCTGGATAAGTTAGCATTCACACCAAAAACCTTCAATGGCACCTTGTCCTTCACACGCCACACAAATTATATGGCAAAATATGAAGAGTTCCTTGAGACTGTACATCCTAATCAATCTACACTTTATTACATCCCATCATTTCTGGTCTGTCTCATTTATGTGTGCATTTCCCTCACTGGGCATTGTTGCAGAAGGCATAAAAAACTGTACTGGAAAAGAGACATTGAAGAGCCTCTCTGGATTGGTTTTTGAAATGGGAATGTCTGGTCAGAGCTACAGTATTACAATGCAGTTTACGCTGTTGCACATGCTCTCCACGCCATGTTTTCATCAAGATCTAGGCAGAAGGCAACACTCAATGGTGCCACAAGAAATAGCTCAAATGTTTACCCATGGCAGGTAGGAAATTCATGCCCACCTCTACTTAATATATGACCATGAATGCTGGATTCAGGTTTATTACTTAGCAGTTGACTGAATTTGATTCAGCAACAACACACATACATATACAAATACTGAGCTTGCCCTGATGAACCATGATGATTTAAGATGCTGTGTTTCTTCACAGAATTTTGAAATGTTCTCTGCTAGCTTTCCCCAACCTGGTATTCCCCAAATGTTGTTGGCTACACTTTCCTTTTTGCACTAGCCCAAAATGACCAATGGTCAGGAATGATGTGACCTGAAGTCCAAGGCATCTGGAACTGACAAAGTTCAGGGAGGTTATAAAGGTTATGAACAAAGCATATTCAACACGGGCCTCATATCTTGTTATGGCAACCATGAAAATTGAGAAATATTTTATTCCATTGACTCTATATCCCCCACACAATAGTAATAAGGAGCTAGTTGAGTATGATATTAGAGTGACAAAGTGATTTTCCACACTTCTTCTTGTCCCGCTGCTGTTCTGCTGCTTTCCCCGGGGGAAAACCCTTCCTTTGCCCTCAACTGGAACAAAACAAAAAGTGGGTTTTCCCTGGGAAGGAAGTGAGGCAAGAGGAGAATGGCTCAGATCTGTGCCTAGGAAGTGTAAGGTAAAGGTAAAGGACCCCAGGATGGTTAAGTCCAGTCAAAAGTGACTATGGGTCCACTGCTCTCATCTCGCTTTCAGGCCAAGGGAGCCGGCATTTGTCCACAGACAGCTTTCCAGGCCATGTGGTTAGCATGACTAAACTGCTTCTGGTGCAAAGGAATACCATTACAAAAACCAGAGTGCATGGAAACACCATTTACCTTCCCACCACAATGGTACCTATTTATCTACTTGCACTGGCATGCTTTCAAACTGCTAGGTTGGCAGGAGCTGGGACAGAGCAATGGGAGCTTGCTCCGTCACGGGGATTCAAACCGCCGACCTTCTGATTGGCAAGCCCAAGAGGCTCCATGGTTTAGACCACAGCACCACCCACGTCCCTTGCCTAGGAAATGTAGGTCAAGTGGAAACACACAGACCCACACTTTCAAGGAATGGGACAAGTGGAAGTGTCTACAAGCCCCCAAACAAGAAAGTAAATTCCAGGTAAAACACAGTAACTGTTACTGCAATTGGCAGTAACATGTCCTTTTCTTCTTCAATCTACGTAGCTTCACTCCTTCCTGAAACACATCCGTTTCAACAACAGTGCTGGAGAAGATTTTTTTTTTGATGAAAATGGAGACTGGGCAACAGGATATGATATCGTCAATACTGTCACATTCCCCAACTTGTCCATACACAGAGTTCGCGTTGGAAGACTTGATCCAAAAGCTCCTGAAGGAAAGAAGTTCACCATCAATGGAAGTGCTGTTGTGTGGAATCACAAGTTTAACCAGGTGGGAAACACAGATATTCTCCAGAACAATAGATTCTGAACAAATCCTGCCTGCCCCTTGTTTCACACAGAATAGTGTAAAGTCCAACCTGTTCTGGTTCCATGCAGATATTTCAGGAGGAATCTGCAGAAATCCAGGAGAGGGGATGAGGAGGTGTAAGGACTGGGTAATCTTTATACATTCATGTTGGGCCTTCAGTAGCCCTGTGGGCTGGCAGTTCAATACCAATTGTTTATACTTTAAATTCTTTCTTTCTGGATATTCTTAGATCACACCACAATCCACATGTGTTGAGACTTGCCACCCTGGACAAAGCAAGATGGCACGGCAGGAGGAACAGATTTGTTGTTATGATTGTCCTCAGTGCTCTGAAGGCATGATTTCAGCCTTGACAGGTAAGTAGAGACTGCACAGTTACATGGGGAATGCTAATCCAGGTGTCTGTAAAATAAATGTTCTCAAAGGCCCATGACTCTGATGTGTGAATGGGCCATTGCAGATAGTCCTTAGAAAGGGTGTTCCTTAGAAAGGGGATTCCTTTGTTTTATCACATTATCATCAAAAACAGGGGAAGGGATTCTGTTCTTCTTGTCCAAGAGAAATGTTACCGAGGCCATATTTCATGCCACACCATGAAACAGTTGATGCTGAAGAAGATCCATGCACATTTTCAATGATTAAGATTTATTACTTTCAGATGCAGACCACTGTAACAAGTGCCCTGAGGATCAACATCCAAATAGAAATCAGGATGGCTGTATCGCTAAAACTATAAGTTTTCTATCATATGGAGAGACCTTGGGAATAATTCTGGCTTCATTTGCACTTTCCCTTTTTCTGATCACACTTGTGGTGATGTGGATCTTCATTCAACACCAGGAGACTCCCATTGTCAAGGCCAACAACTGGAACATCACCTGCACCCTCCTCATTTCCCTCTTGCTTTGCTTTCTCTGCTCCCTCTTATTCATTGGGGAGCCTGCAAAGGTGACCTGCCTTCTCCGTCAAACCATGTTTGGAATCATCTTCTCCCTGGCTGTTTCTTGTGTGTTGGCGAAAACCATCACTGTGGTTCTGGCCTTCATGGTCACCAAGCCAGGAAACAGGATGAGGAAATGGGTGGGGAAGAGGCTGGCAGTGTCAGTCATCATCCTTTGCACTCTTATTCAAACTGGCATCTGTGCAGTGTGGTTGGCAACCTCTCCTCCCTTCCCAGAGTTTGACATGCATTCACAGACTACCCAAATCACTGTGCAGTGCAATGAAGGATCAGGCCCCATGTTTTATACTGTCCTGGGCTACATGGGTCTTCTGGCCATCATCAGCTTCACTGTGGCTTTTTTGGCCAGGAAGCTACCTGATACTTTCAATGAAGCCAAGCTCATCACCTTCAGCATGCTGGTCTTCTGCAGTGTTTGGCTGTCCTTTGTCCCCACCTACCTGAGCACCAAAGGAAAATATATGGTGGCTGTGGAGATCTTCTCTATCTTGACTTCTAGCTCTGGGTTGCTGGGTTGCATCTTCCTCCCCAAATTCTATATTATTGTTCTGAGGCCTGAGCTGAACACCAGGGATCAGCTTGTGAGAAAAAAGAACTGTGAAATCTGATAGGTTTCCTCCTTGCTTTTTGTAGCTTCTTTTCCACTCACTTTTCTGGTTGTTTTGTCTTTTTAAAACAACCTTAACTGAAATACATGCAAGGCCTTCTTTTATGTTTGGAAAGTACTTCCGATGATGTAAAATTCCAGCCAGTTTGGCTTTTACTCAGTTTACTTATCTAGTAGTTTGTTTATAAGCCACTTTTTTGAAAATGTGCTTATTTATTTTTAAAAGTATTTATATTTCACTGTGTCATAAATAAATATCAAAGTTGCTTACAACAACGCAATAAAACTATATACAAATTTAAAATCTGAGATGATAAACTAATCATTATGGAAATATATTTTCTTAATTGCATGCAAGAGCCTAGTGGCATAAAAAGTTTTCAGCAGGCATTTAAAGGATGAAACAGAAGGTGCCTGCTAAATCTGTATCACCAGAGGTTTCCACAAGTTTGGGATGATAACACTAAAGGCTCTGTCACATGTACCCATAATAATACTAATGCCTAAATATCAGCACATAATTAACTATCAGCCAGCCAGCCCCAGTACAAAAAGCCCCCACTTATAACCCCAGTTTATATTAGCCATTACAAGCCGGAGAGGGGTGCTTTTGAAATTGTTAAGTTCTGTTTAATTGACATGAGAAATGGAGCCTTTTCAGTCTCAGAAGGAACTGAGTTCTATAGCTGCAAAGCCACAGTTTAGAAGATCCTGTTATGAATGCCCACCAGCCTGATTTTTTCTACTTGTAGGCACCTATGCAGGATGCGTGATGTAAATCTTACAAGGCTAATAAGGGCTGCCTTCAGATGTAATCTAACGTTTATATAGCTACTCATCTCCTTGACAGGTGGGAGGTGTTCCACAGGGTGGGCACCACTACCGAGAAGACCCTCTGCCTGGTTCCCTGTAGCTTCCCTTCTCACAGTGAGGGAACCGACAGGAGGCTCTCAGTGCTGGATCTCAGTGACTGGGATGAATGGAGTGACTGGGGTGGAGACGCTCCTTCAGGTATACAGAGGTTTTATTCTTAAGCCATTTATTTTCTTGATTAAGCTGTATTGATGCTTCACTAACGCTTCACTAACACATCACTGGGCAGGTGACAGCAAGTTAATGCAAATCAAGGCAAACACTAGCCTGCGCTCTGCAGACTTACTTATGTATACACATGGAGCTAAACCCCATAGCTGTCAAGTGTCCCTTATTTGAAGGGACAGCCCCTTATTCCAGCGCCATGTCCCGCTGCTGTCCCTTATTGATGGATGTCCCTTAAATGTCCCTTATATGATGTCCTTTAAATTTCAAAGGCAGCAGCTCCTCTCCCTCCCTCCCTGCTGGCCAGGGAGGAGGGAGGCTCCAGCTGTGTTGCTTGGCTGTGTTGCTCACCCAATAAGAAGTCTAAGAACGACTGGGGGTGGAGCTTGCATGCCTTGTGTGTGGCTAGTTAATGCAAGCTGAGGGGGTTTTTGAATGCTGGACGCCATTTTGTTGCATGTGCTGCTGCAAACTGTGCAGTGCAAAGTCAGGCCGGGGAGCCATCTTAAGTTGAGGCTGCATAGGCCTTGTGGTGCATGTGATTCAGATTCTATTCAGTTGAACCTCTGGTTACAAAGTTGGTTGGACAGTGTTCTTGAAGCTACCAGCATGAGTTTGACCAGACTGCAGGAGGACAGGAAGACTGGAGTGCCTGGAACAGGTGAGGCTGCAGGTCCCTTATTTTGGCTGCTGGTCCCTTATTTTCAAGGCTGCTGGTCCCTTATTTTCAAATCTGTAAGTTGACAGCTATGCTAAACCCTCACCATCCTCTCATGCATTCTTTGAGTATGTGAAAGTGGGGCATCCAAACTTCCATGTAAACAAATCAGATCATTTGCATGGTGCTGTCCGGGAACTCTTTATTTTCAGTGAAGGAAATATTTCCTGCCCTCACTCTGACTTGGCTTTGTGTACCTTTACATTGTGGTATGACAACATCTTCGCATTGCCTACAGTAGAAGTAGATTGGTATCCCACTGATAGCTCTATTAATGGTTGGGTGTTGATCATGGATGTCCAACAGCTCGATGGGGATCTACTGGTAGATCGCAGGTCGATCTCTGGCTCCCTTTCCTCAGCGTCATTGAAACAGACTCCTGCCCCGCCCCCATTGTTGTGTGATTAGTGGAAGGGAAGACAGAGCTTTCTCTCTGTGGCTGTTTTCGTTCAAAGCGATATTACTGTGAGAGAGAAAGTCTCTCTCCCTTAGACCCTTGGTTTTAACTCCCCCCCAAAATGGAACTTCCATCCTAAGAAAGTCCTCCTCCCTAAAAAAAAGCTCAACAACTTTGAAACTTTGACCTGAATCATTGCCAGATTTTAATTCTGAAAGTAGATCTCAGTCTCTCGGGAATTGGTCACCCCTGCTGTAGATCAACAGGTTTCTTGCCTCACAACTGTTTAAGAATGAGCAGGAGAGCCCCGAATCATTGCATTGTATCATTGGGAGGGACCTCAAAGGCCTAGTCCATCCCCTGCTCATTCAAATAATGCACATGGCAATCTTAAGAAGGGTGCCCCTGGTAGATCATTAAGGCCAAAGTATACAATTGCTGAGCTACAATTATACAATACAGTATACAATAGCTGACTGGCTTGAGCAATTAGAAGACCTTCTGTCTGTTGCTTTTGCCTCACCTCCACCCTCAACAGCACAGGGCCTTGATCTATCCTGCATATAGCCCACTACACCCAGTTAAGGACCTTATCTACTTTAGAGTGGTGTAGTGATAGGAAGGAAGGAAGGAAGGAAGGAAGGAAGGAAGGAAGGAAGGAAGGAAGGAAGGAATAGACACTGGTTTCCTTCTGGGTTTTCTCTCCACCTTTCTTCCACACACACACACACACACACACGGGGATACCCTGTCTGTCATGAGACATGGAGAGGGTAGTTGGGTGCTGAGGAGGAACTGGTGAAGAGTTGGGTGATCCCATGGAAGCTCCTAGCAAGCTGGAACAGTTGAAATCAGGACACCAAGAGAAGTCTGATCCAGAAGAGGGATGCAGCGAGATGGAAGATGGAGATCTGGATTCTGTGAAAGGGCCTGGCCAGAGCTGGCCCAGGACATTTTGCCACTCCAGTCAAAATTGAAAATGGCCACACACACATCGCCTCCTCTACACCCACTGCCTGGAGGCTGCACGGGGAGCAAAAGGAGGCTGGAGAGGAGCAGGCGGTAGGGGATGGGTGTGTGTGCAGTGGTGGCAGTACCCCTCCCAGCTGACTGCCTTACTGAGCCTCATAGGCAGGTGGGGTAGGGGGCTGTTGGGCTGTTAGAAAAGCACCCTGCCCCCAAAACATTGGCTACCTCAAGTTTAAAGCCTTTAAAGCCAAGTTTAAATTCCCTGCTGGGAATAAGTTGGATGCCAAGCAGACTCTTGAGTCCACCCCCATCTCAAAGGATGTGGTGCTGTCAGCAGCAGCAAAAGCATGCCTGGCATAATCACTTGGATGAGGGCTCATTTGAAAGTCAAGTTCCAAGATTTGGAACTGCCACACCAATAGCACCTTCAAAAGTAGAGCACAGAGGGCATGTCACTTGTGCTTAGCCATTATTTCTAACCTCTTATGCACCCACTGGTTTCTATGACTCGAAAACTGACCTACATAACATTCTGATCTAAACTTTTAAGCCGTTGGTAGAAACTAAGATGGAAGTTTGAGTTCTTCATCTAGCAGTGAGAGCCAGGACACCATCAAACACACACACACACACACACACACACACACACCCCACATGGGATACTCCCCCCACTCTTCCTCACACATGTAGGAACATCCTTCGCACACATACCTTCCTCAAAGACAGGCAAAAGGGTAACACAACACAACAACACTGAGTGTATATTTCCATCCACATCCACAAAACATATATCTAGCAGTGAGAACCAGGACACCATCAAACACACACACACACACACACACACACACACACACCTCACATGGGATACTTCCCCTTCTCTCTCTCTCTCTCTCTCTCTCTCTCTCTCTCTCACACACACACACACACACACATCCTCTTCCTCACACATGTAGGAACATCCTTTGCACACATACCTTCCCCAAAGACAGACAAAAGGGTAACAAAACAAAACAAAACAAAACAAAACAACTCAGTGTATATTTCCATCCACATACACAAAACCCAACAACCTCTTTTAAGATGTCCCATTTACCCCTTAGCCAATATCCTACTTGTTCCGGAGTTCCTTGCAGGTAGACCCTACATACTGTACATTTAGTCTTTCACAACGATTGAAAGAAGCGATGCCATTGCTTGTGTTAGGTCTCTTGGCTGCGTTAATTATCACTGCTGCTAGGATATTGTGCTGATGGTTGTGGGTTTCCAATAGTTCAGGGAGCAAAGCTAGAAATGATGTATTTGTCGCTCAAGCTCCATTGCTTCATATACCTTGCATTTTTGTCCACGTGGGTTGCTGGTTATTTCCATTCATTTAGTACATATGTGTATATATAGCACCACGCGAGGTGACGGCCCTCATGGCTAATAAGAGGAGGTTCTGGAAAGAGAGGAGTCTATCAGTGCCGTTGTGATGGGCTTTCATGGAGAACATAGAAGAGCCACTCTTTCATGCCCAAATGGCAATGATGGCCATGATGGAGAAGCCCAGTCCAATGAAGAAGAACTTGGTCAGGGGGCTTTCGTGTGAGCGCAGCTCGTAGGGGAGGATCTCCAGGAAGGTGACGTAGAGAAAGGTCCCTGCAGCCACCCCTTCCAACAAAGCCTGAGCCAGGCTGGTCCCGTCACTGTTGTAAAGGGAGACACCGATGCCCACGCCGATGCCAGCGGGAGACATCAGAGCAAACACCACCAAGTACAGCAACCTCCACCGGGCCGGCGTGCCGCTCTGCACCAACTTCAGAGCCAGGCTGAAGACCACAATGGCCTTGTGGATCAGCACCGCCAGGCAAAGCTGAATGGCGGCCGTCTCCTGCTTTTGGACGCCGATGGCCAGGCCCTCAAAGACCGAGTGGAAGGAGAGCGACAGGAAGAGCACGAACGCCCGGAAAGAGCTGTGGGATTCCGGCGGGTCCTTGTGATCCTCTTCGGTGTTGTGGTCGCCGTGGGAGTGCACAGCCTTGGGGCAACAATGGAGCACCACGCTCTCAATGAGGAACACCAGGAAGAAGCCAGCTGAGATGACGAGCTCCCCAAATGGGTACATCTGCCATGGGAGGAGAGACAGAGTTGGACATGAGTTAAGGCCCCATCTGCAGTGTCCATTTCAAGCAGTATCATGCCCCTTTAAATAATCATGGCTTCCCTCAAATAATCCTAGGAAGTGTAGCTTATTATGGGTGCTGAGAGTTGTTAGGAGACCCCTATTCCCCGCTGCCACAGAGCCATAGCTGTCAACGTTTCCCCTTTTTAAAGGGAAATTCCCTTATTCCGAATAGTATTCCTTGCAAGAAAAGGGAAAAGTTGACAGCTATGCACAGAGCTACAGTAAACGGCTCAGTGCTGCAATACCTCAAGGACCGCCTCTTTCCATATGAACGTTCTTGGACCCTGAGATCATCTTCTGAGGCCTTTCTTCGTGTGCCTCCTCCTTGAGAGGTCTGGAGGGTGGCAACATGAGAAAGGGCCTTTTCTGAAGTGGCTCCCCGTCTGTGGAATGCTCTCCCCAGGGAAGCTTGCCTGACGCCTTCATTACACACCTTTAGGCGCCAGGCAAAAACATTCCTTTTAAACCAGGCCTTTGGTTGATCTGATTTACATCCTAAGCCCTTTAAAAATGTGTTTGTGTTTTTGTGGCTGCGAGGGGGAGGGAAGGGCTATTGGGTTGTTCTTTTTATTTTCATTATGTATTTTGTGGTTTTATATCTTGATTTTATTCTGTGAACTGCTGCGAGACCCCTGGGTATAGGGCGGTATATAAATAAAATAAAATAAAATAAATAAATAAAAATACTATGTGAATACTTTTTTTTGCCTATTCTGAATCTTCCAACATTCAGCTTCACTGGATGGACCAGATGAGGGTGTAAAAACCTCTCCCCATCTTCATTATACACCTTTAGGCACCAGGCAAATACGTTCCTTTTTAACCAGGCCATTGGTTGATCTGATTGACCTCCTATACCGTTTTAAAATGTTTTTGGGAGGCGCTATTTATGGTGCAGTTTCTGCCCATGTGTGATTTATAAAACCAGGTGTTGTTTATTGCTCTTCTATTCATTTACCCAGGGACTTTATCTAAACCCTAAGAGGTGCTCAAGTCTTCAAAGAGCTTTCCATGGTTCCTGGGTTTTTTTAAAAAATTAAAGTTGCACCACCAGGTGGCAATCAAGGGCCACCGTAGGATTTCTCAACTGGAACAAGGTTGTCTTGGCAGGGTTCTTAGTCTTGGATTGCAACAGCACCTCCCTGAAGGGAGGAAAAAAAGGTGCTCACAATACTTGAGTTTGGAAAGAGAGGTGTGAAAAATAGAAGCCGGGTGGTGCAGGCTGCACCTTGGAGACCAGGGTTCAAATCCATACCTGGGCAAAAAGTCTAGAGATAGTCTTTCAGCCTAATCAACCTCACAGAGTTCTTGCAATGATAAAATGGAGAGCTGGGGGGGGGGAGGGAATAAAAACGTACACCACTCTAAGCTCTTTGGAAGAAAAATGGGATATAAATGCAAATAAATAACAAAGTAAAATACAATACAATAAAATGTGTTTCAGCTCACCGTTTGGTAATGTATCGGAACTGGCTGTGTTCCCACAATCAGGTACACGACGGCACCCCCCTTTTGTTTTTCATATTTGTATCCATTCCTTCCCTCAAAGAGTTCAAGGTGGCATACTCTCCTCCCTTTCCATATTACCCTAATAATATGTTGCATATCACCTTGTGATCTTTGGATGAATGAAGGGCAATATACAAATGACAGATGATAGATAGATAGATAGATAGATAGATAGATAGATAGATGATAGATGATAGATAGATAGAGCAACAGCCCTGTGAGCCAGACTGAACTGAGAGCTAGTGACTTGCCCAGTAAGCTGGCAGGTCAAAAAAGAAAAAGAAAGGGTAAAAAGGTAAAGGACCCCTGGACGGTTAAGTCCAGGCAAAGGTGACTATGGGGTGCGGCGCTCATCTTACTTTCAGGCCAAGGGAACAGTTTCAGGTTAAGAACGTTAAGAACAAGGACTCGATGGCCCTTGTGGTCTCTTCCAACTCTATGATTCTATGAACAGTTTCAGGTTAATAACAGACCTCCAGAATGAATTAAGTTCGTAACTAGAGGTACCACTGTATCTGCAAGATGGGAACTATTTTATTCCATTGACTCTATATCCCCCTCCCCCATTAATAAGAAGGAGCTAGTTGAGTATGACATTGGAGTGACAAAGTGATTTTCCACACTTCTTCTTGTCCCTCTGCTGCTCTGCTGCTTTCCTTTGCATTCAGCTGGAGCAAAACAAATAGTGGGTTTTCCCTGGGAAAGAAGTGAGGCAAGAGGAGAATGGCTCAGATCTGTGCCTAGGAAGTGTAAGGTAAAGGTAAAGGACCCCAGGATGGTTAAGTTTGGTCACAAGCAACTATGGGCCTATGGCGCTCATCTTGCTTTCAGGCCGAGGGAGTTGGCGTTTGTCCACAGACAGCTTTCCAGGCCACGTGGCTAGCATGACTAAACTGCTTCTGGTGCAAAGAAATACATGACAAAACCCAGAGCGCATGGAAATGCCATTTACTTTCCCGCCGGAGCGGTACCTATTTATCTACTTGCACTGGCTTGCTTTCGAACTGCTAGGTTGGCAGGAGTTGGGACAGAGCAAAAGGAGCTCACCCCATTGCATGGATTTGAACTGGCGACCTTCTGATCAGCAAGTCCAAGAGGCTCCATGGTTTAGACCACAGCGCCACCTGCATCCCCATTCTATTTTCTTCATAGATGGATAGACAGACAGACAGACAGATATGCCTTTGTATCTTGCTCTCCAGATTTAATAAATAATAAATAATAATAATAATAATAATAATAATAATAATAATAATTTATTTATACCCTGCCCATCTGGCTGAGTTTCCCCAGCCACTTTGGGCGGCTTCCAATCAAGTGTTAAAAACAATACAGCATTAAATATTAAAAACTTTCCTAAACAGGGCTGCCTTCAGGTGTCTCCTCACAGAAACTCCTCACAGCAGGAAGAAACTCCTCACCGCAGGAGGCAAATAATGCAAACACAACTACAACCATAACAAAATTTTACAAGAGAGTGTACCAGTCAAGGTAGATGTTTTAAAAGGTTTGTTATGGTTCTGTTCACAGATCCTTAAATAAGTAACCAAAACCAAGACCTGAGCCAAGCAAGATTAGAACAGTCATTAAAAGATTGTGAAATATGCAGAGGCCAAGCCTGAGATCTTAATCAACCATCTCACCCCCCTACACTCTTGCAAAATTTGAGAGCCTTTTGCAGCTGACTAGAAAACAAAATCAGCAATCTCAAAGGTGGGGGAACAACAGTGTTCAAACAAGGGGAAACATACCTCAGAATCATCATCACCTTCAGAGGTGCCGTTCTGCTTATGCATAGAAGCTCCCTGGGGGAAAAGAAACAAACAAACAGCTGAGTTGGAAACATTCTAAGGACAAGAATGGTTCACAGTCATTGGCTATCATGGTGGTGGAATCAAGTTTCCTCCCTATTCAAGCAGTGGGAGCTCAGATATTGAAGATCTGTCAAATTTTGGAACCATGAACTTCTTTTGCATGCACAAACTTTATCTCTCTCTCTCTCTCTCTCTCTCTCTCTCTCTCTCATCTATCTATCTATCTATCTATCATTCATTCATTCATTCTAAGGCCTCTTGTTGCTGCTTTCCCAATCCCAGTGCAACAGTACCCCTAATTATTAGAACAATTTCCAAAGGGGTGGCTGTGTTAATCTCTTGTAGCAAAATGAGTGAGTCTTTTAAATTTATTATGGCATAAGCTTGTGGTTCCCAAACTTCCCCCTCCTTGGACCACTTGGAAATTGCTGGTGGTCTTGATGGACTACTTAATGATTTTTCTGCCTGTTGTAGCAGTTATGCTGTGCTGTGATTTCTGATTGCATTTATACATATACACCACGGAGCACCTGAATGAAGCTCGTGGACCATGGTGGTCCTTGGATCGCAGTTTAGGAACCCCTGGCATAAGCGTTCATGGACAGTAGTTCACTTCATAGTGTGCAGGCACTTTTAGAAAGAAGGGACTCTATTCTTGACCTTATGATAAAAGGAGGTACATCTAGGAAGATGTGATCTTTTCGGTCATAAAGCCAGCTTTATAGGTTAGAAAAAAACCCAGTATTTTGAATTGGACAAGTCAGATGAAGCAGTGAAAGCAAGCAAGCAAGCAAGCAAGCAAGCAAGCAAACAAACAAACCAAAAAAACCCCACACAACCCAAACAAAACTTGTGCAATATGTTTATAATGGCCAGTTCCATTCAGGTTTTTGGTACCATGTTCTGTGTCGACATTTCCATGCCATCTTCAAAGGCTGCACCATATACAGTGGGTTACATTTGGTCCAAACAGTTATTTACTAAAACATGGAACACTGAAGTCCAGTTGTACAATTCAGCCAAGGTCAGAGCCGGGACACTGGTTTAAGCTTGTCCAGTACTGTCTCCCCCAACAACGAATAGGGACTCAAGGTTGAAGAACACCGGTCTGCTCTGACTGGCAGTGACCCTCCAGGGTCTCAGACAGTGCTATCTCCCATGATCTTGTTTTAACTGAAGATGCTATGGACTGAAGCTCAGACTTTCTGCATATAAAGCAGATGTTGTTCCACCAAGCTGTGGCCCATCCAAATTCATTGCAGTGGAATTCAGATTTAAGAGACTGCTGCGATGGCACTCACCTGCTGCCGTCTCTTTTTGAGTTCCTCCTGGATGTCTCCCAGTGCGTCGGCCACCATGTGCATAATGCAGGCCCCAAGGAACACTCCGGCAGCAAAACAGCCTATGAAACTGAGAATGCGCCGATGCTTCCCTAGAAGAGATGCAGGGAGGAATAGGAAGGATTATGTCAGATGTAGAGTTTGTCAAACAGAGACGAGGCTGCCAATCCATGTCTCTAATATATATATCTTAATGTAAGCCACCTTGCATAGAGGCAGGATACTAATCAATACTAATACTACTAATAAAGGAGAGTAACACCTGCATGCTCAGAATTCAGTGCATGCTCAAGAGTTCAAGGCCCACCAGCATCAAAAAAATAATCTGGAGGTGTAAAGCACCCTTTCAGTTCCAGCACCATGGATAGAGCTTTTTTTGCCCAATGAAATGTAGTGTTTTTTAACAGAGCCAATTTGCTTGTTCAGCTTGCTTAAGCCCTGTTTACTTATTCTGGGTGTGGAAGTAGAAGGAACGCTAATCTGTAAAAGGAACATGTGAGCATTGATTCACCAGAAAGATCAAGAGTGGTAAAGAGGGACCCACCTCAATATATGGCCACCTAGAGAGTTAACAACAAAGCTGAGATCTCAAGACTTCCTGGTGTTGCACAGCACAGTATTTGCACTCCTGCACAAGTTCTAATAGTCAATTGCATCAAGCCCCTCTGAAGATCAGGCCATACCCACTCCAATCCCTTCCACCAACTGCTCACCTCTGGCCATGTTGCTCTGGAACCATCTAACCTGCGCCGGGATGAGGCCACAAATGAGTGTGACCACCAGCAGACCTGCCAGGCAGCCGATCTTGACCTCCAACAATTGATCCATCTCTGCAGCGTAGGGTAGGGAAAATCACACCGGGAGGAGAGGCAAAGGCTTATCCGTCGTTTCTCTGGACACTTTTCGGGCCAGTCTGATTCCAAAACGTCTTATGAGCGTTAGTAACTAGACCCAAACAGAGATGTCCACCTCTCTTCACACTCTTCTGGTGCAGTAAAGCTCTCCCCTTTGGAAGTATGAGTGGGGGAAAGAGTAGGAAGAGAGCCTCACACTATGGAGTCTTCATGAACTGAGCATCCATATATAGCAAGATCAAAAGCAACTAGATGTTCCAGCAGCAGTCAGGTGTATGGTGCTGTCTTCAGCCTCTGCCTTCTACATATATTTCATGGAGCCTTCTACTCCCCACCTTGTTCCCTTGTTCCTTACCCTCTGCTATTTCCCTCATTGATCCAGCTTTCTGGTCTCTTGTCCTGCAGATGTTCTCTCTTGCATTCCACCTTCCTTCCTTCTCTTTTCTACCTCCCTCATCAGATTCCTGCTTCCATCCAACCTCAGTCTAATCCTAGCCGCCTTCTAGGGAGTGAGTAATCACCCCGATACTCCAGAAAGCCGCCCGCCCACTTTGGTGTTGTCCCATCCCATCCCCTCCCCTTCATTATGCAAACGCGTAATTTCATTTACAATAAACAGTCTACAAGCGATCATTTCGTCATTAATTTTAAGGTCACTGGGCCATAGCAGCCACAGTCGAGGGCTCCACCTCGAATTCTCGATAAGAAATGCTCATTAAAAAACGGGAGTCTATTGATCTAGCTGAAGATTGTTTTCCAGCTGGCAGGTCAAGGCTAACAAGTGCGTGGGTCTCAATAGCTGCACCTTTCACGTTTTGCTTCAGATGTGGATAAGGGGGAAGAGAGGGGAAAACAAGCACAAAACATTGCAAAAAACCTCAAGGCACAATCTTATGAGCCTTGGCAGGGTAGCCCAGGGGCCACAGGATACAGCAGATCTCCCTCTCTGCTAAGCAAGACGCTTGACCATCTGCCTCTGCCAATGAACTCATGTAGGTTGTTCATTTTTATTTTATTTATTATTTTATTTTGACAAAGTCATAATAATAAATAAATAAGAATAAAAATGTGCACCTCACCACTGAAACCACCCCATTGTTAACTATCCACCCTCCCAAAATTTCAACATCTCTTGCGATGGTTTGGCCCCTTTCTGTTTTAACAGTACAAATTCTACAAACACCCTCCATATCTCCTCAAAATCATTTCTCCTGTGTATTCCCTATCTTACCTTAATGGCACATGTTAATTTATCATTAATAGCTATATCCCACACCCCTTTAAACCATTCTTCCATTTTGTATTCTGCTTGCCCCTTCCACTTCTTGGCTATAATAATTCATACAGCTGTCAATAAATTTGTGAGCAAGTCCTTCATAGCCTGCGAACCTTCTACCCCACCGTAAACTGATAATAATGCTACCTCTGGACTTTCGGTCAGCTTTACTCATGTAGATTGTGCTGGTCAGATGCTCTTGGGCCCTTCTGAATACCGATCAGTGGGGGGGGGGTGAGTTCTGGGCCCTTGGTTTTATGATTCTCCGCCGCTGCTGGGCAGCTGTCTCCTATGGTGTTGAGCACCTGCACTGGGGGCAGGGGGTAGAAACAAACAGGGGCCCACCTCTGCCCACTCAAGGAGACCCACCCTCAGAGGCCCCCTTATTCTGGCTCCAAGACCATCCCTTCTCCTCCCCCACTGCTCTGAGGAGAGGAAGAAAGGGGCACACCTCGCCATAGACTGAGGGAGGCTTACAAAACTCCCTCCCTGAGAAGAAACCAGAGACTAACCACACCTGTCCTGGAGCTGATCTAGAAAATGTTCCTCCCCTAAGAACCCACAGGACAGAAATGGACGATGTATCCCTCTTCTGCAAGAATGGTGTAAGATTGGCAGGGCTGTGAATTTGGTATCTGGCCCATCTTGGATTTCCCCCTCCTTCTACCTTGGCTTTTGGTGGCTGTGTAAATGTGGAACAGCAGAGCAGCAAGATTTCATGCAGGTTGGGGCTGCTGGGAGCTGGGAGTCAAGCAATAGTTGGGCTACAGAACCTCCACCTTTGTACTAAATCAGTAAGATCTATTCTGTTGAGGTTATGCAATAATCAACCAAATGAGGCAACTTTAGTTAAGGAGCCTGAGCTATTCAAGATACTGACACAGTTCAAGATAAAAGACCCTTCATGCTAATTCTGACTGGAGCAAACTAGGCTATCCCACCTGCCTTTATTTTGCCTGCCAGCTCCAAGACTGGTTTGGCAGGCTGGCTGGAGCCGCACCCAAGAGCCTTCGCTTTTCAAACTTGGTTTCATTGAGAGCAAACCAACAAGTTTGGATTGCTACATTAGCTACCTCATTACTCCACCACAGCTAAGAAAAACGCAGGGCTTTTCCTCCACTGACTGAAGCCAAGGAAACAAATCTGCAAAAGGACTCTCAAGTGGAGACCAGAGGCTCACGTTTTTTGCACCCAAGTCCTTTGGCTCACAACAGCACCAGCAGGTGAGATTAAGGCTGGATTGAAAACAGGCTTGAGAGTAGGAGAGAGAAATGGAGTTCTCCCAGCACTGCTCTATTTTTCTTTGGGCAGGAACTGTGAATGTCAGAATGGACTGCAGGCATGTGCACTGACCTAGCACTAAAGAAAACATAGTCACGAGCCATTTGCTTGAAGCAAATATTGCCCCTCCAAAAGCCTTATAGCAGAAAAGCAATTGTATCTGGAATGAATATTTATTTATATTATTGTTTTTTGAAATACACAATCATTGGTTTCAAAACTTGAAATAGGGGGGCACCCTTTGCCTATTTTAACATTGCACATGAGAGAGAGAGAGAGAGAGAGAGAGAGAGAGAGAGAGAGAGAGAGACTGGGCTTCCTGATGTTATTGGGCTACCAACTCCCATCAGCTCCAGCTACCACAGCAAAAGGTCAGAGATGATGGGAGTTGTTATGCAACATGTGGAGGACTGGAGGTTTCCTCCCCCCTTGTATTAAGTCACCATTCTGTCCTCCCTGCCCCCGGGATTTTCAGTTTTTCAAAAGTTCTTCCTATTCCGCAAACTGCACAACAACAAGGAGTAGCATAACAATGCATGGGTTTTTTTGGAAACGATTTTCCCTGCTATTGCACAACTTTGCAATAGATGGAAAAGACATTCTAAAAACAAGGAAGTGAACTGAAGTGGTGATGAAAGAAAAAACATGTAAGGGTTTCTTTGTGATGGAAATTGCTACTTCTGGGCGTCATTCTAAATTCCACAAAACCACATTTCAAATAATATAGACTCAGTAAACCTGTTTGGTAAAGTTGGAAGGTCAACATCCAGGGAAGAAATTATACCCTCCCAGCATCACTGGCCCCTGGTATGCTAGGATGGAGGGAGGCCTCTCCTTTCCCCAACTACTCTGGGCGGCTCCCAACAGAGTATTACTACTACTAATAATATTAATATTATTAATAATAAAGCGATATAACATTAAAACTTCCCTAAACAGGGCTGCCTTCAGATGTCTTCTAAAAGTCAGATAGTTGTTTATTTCCTTGACATCTGATGGGAGGGCGTTCCACAGGGCGGGCGCCACTACCGAGAAGGCCCTCTGCCTAGTTCCCTGCAACCTCACTTCTTGCAGGGAGGGAACCTCAGAGCTGAACCTCAGTGTCTGGGCTGAACGATGGAGGTGGAGATGCTTATTCAGGTATACTGGGCCAAGGCTGTTTAGGGCTTTAAAGGTCATCACTACCACAACACTTTGAATTGTGCTCAGAGATGTACTGGGAGCCAATGCAGGTCTTTCAGGACAGATGTAATATGGTCTTGACAGCTGCTCCAGTCACCAGTCTAGCTGCCACATTCTGGATTACTTGCAGTTTCTGGGCCACCTTCAAAGGTAGCTCAACATAGAGTGCATTGCAGTAGTCCATGGGTAGGCAAACTAAGGCCTGGGGGCCGGATCCGGCCCAATCACCTTCTAAATCTGGCCCGTGGGCGGTCCGGGAATCAGCGTGTTTTTACATGAGTAGAATGTGTCCTTTTATTTAAAATGCATCTCTGGGTTATTTGTGGGGCACAGAAATTCGTTCATATGGTTTTTTTTCTTCAAAATATAGTCTGGCCCCCCACAAGGTCTGAGGGACAGTGGACCAGTCCCCTGATGAAAAAGTTTGCTGACCCCTGCAGTAGTCCAAGCGGGAAATAACTACAGTGGTGCCTCGCAAGACGAAATTAATTCGTTCCGCAAGTCTCTTCGTCTTGCGGTTTTTTCGTCTTGCGAGGCATGGTTTCCCATAGGAATGCATTGAAAATCAATTAATGCGTTCCTAGGGAAACCGCCTTCAGACCAGGTCCGGGGACAGTCTGTCCCCGGACCTCTTCTGAAGGCTGGGGGGGGGGCAAGGGCTTTTCTTCCCACCCCCAGCATTTTAAAAAACCCTGGGACAGCGGAGAACTTCTCCGCTGTCCGGGGCGATCTTAAAATGCTGGCGGGCGGCATTTTAAAATCGCCCCGGACAGCGGAGGACTTCTCCGCTGTCCGGGGCGATTTAAAAGCCCCTGGGAAGGCAGGCAGGGGGGACAAAGACTTTCGCCCCCTGCCCGCCTTCAGAAGGTGTTCCCACCCCCCCTCCCCGCTTCGGAACAGCTTTCCGAAGTGGGGCGGCTGGGGCAGGTGTCCCCGCCCCCCTCCCCGCTTCGGAACAGCTTTCCGAAGTGGGGCGGCTGGGGCAGGTGTCCCCGCCCCCCCTCCCCTCTTCGGAACAGCTTTCCGAAGTGGGGCGGCTGGGGCAGTTGTTCCCGCCCCCTCCCGCTTCGGAACAGCTTTCCGAAGTGGGGCGGCTGGGGCAGTTGTTCCTGCCCCCCTTCCCGCTTCGGAAAAGCTTTCCGAAGTGGGGCGGCTGGGGCAGGTGTCCCCGCCCCCCCTCCCCGCTTCGGAACAGCTTTCCGAAGTGGGGCGGCTGGGGCAGGTGTCCCCGCCCCCCTTCGGAACAGCGTTTTAAAATGCTGGGGGTCGGGAGCGAAGCGCTGCCGACCCCCAGCATTTTAAAATCTCCCCGTGTCCCGGGAAGATTTTAAAATGCTGGGGGTCGGGAGCGAAGCGCTGCCGATCCCCAGCATTTTAAAACCTTCCCGGGACACGGGGAGATTTTAAAATGCTGCGGGTCGGCAGCGCTTCGCTCCCGACCCCCAGCATTTTAAAACCTTCCCGGGACACGGGGAGATTTTAAAATGCTGCGGGTCGGCAGCGCTTCGCTCCCGACCCCCAGCATTTTAAAACCTTCCCGGGACACGGGGAGATTTTAAAATGCTGCGGGTCGGCAGCGCTTCGCTCCCGACCCCCAGCATTTTAAAACCTTCCCGGGACACGGGGAGATTTTAAAATGCTGCGGGTCGGCAGCGCTTCGCTCCCGACCCCCAGCATTTTAAAACCTTCCCGGGACACGGGGAGATTTTAAAATGCTGGGGGTCGGCAGCGCTTCGCTCCCTACCCCCAGCATTTTAAAACCTTCCCGGGACACGGGGAGATTTTAAAATGCTGG